GGATGGTAGGCACGCTGGTGCGCTTATGCACGCCTCCCTTTACGGACCTCTTAGGAACTGGGTGAGGTCCACGGTAGACAGTTTAAGGTTAAAGTTTTGGGGGTTTGAGGATGTAACAAAAGAGTCAGGTAGAGCATTCCAGGCATTGACCACTCTGTTGCTGAAGTCGTATTTTCTGCAATCGAGTTTGGAGCAGTTTACCTTGAGTTTGTATCGATTGTTTGCCCGTGTTTTATTGAGGTTGAAGCTGAAGAAGTCATTGACAGGTATGACGTTGTAGTAGATAATTTTGTGTACTATGCTTAGGTCACATTCAAGGTGGTGTAATTCCAGGTTGTCCAAGCCTGAAATTTCGAGCCTGGTGGCCTAAGGGATTCTATTATGAGCAGAGGAGTGGAGGGCTCTTCTCTTGAAATACCTCTGCACTCGTTCAATCGTATTAATATCCGATATACAGTGTGGATTCCAGGCAGATGAGCTGTATTCGAGGATTGGTCTGGCAAAGGTTTAGTATGCCCCAGTTAGCAGTACAATGTTGCAATATCAAGGATATTGCAACCTTGTACTATGTGATGATACGTTATGACATGTTAGCAGTGCAACGTTATGATATCAAGGATGGCAGGGCACACATCTAGCAAGTGCAAGTCAACTGCTTTGTGAAAAGTGATGTTGATTTTGGAAGACGGACTGATTTTGCAGATTGGTGAAAAGGGGAAAAAAAGAAGCGTTTGTCAAACCAAGGCCATGGAGGATGGGAAGAATGGATGTGTGGCATTGGCCGAGAAAGGGCTCCGTTTCCACAAATACAGCTCGGGGACTTGCTCAGTTCTGTCCGCGATTTGTTGGGCTTTCAATGACCGGCTGAAGAATCGAGTGAGCCACGGTGAAAGATGGCTGTGAATGTGACAGCTGGCACAATGAGTTTTCTCCCAGGTTGGCTGCTGAGTCAGCCAGTCCTTTCTCAGCTCCCCCCCCCACACACACACACATGAGGAGAGCTTGATGATCCTGCAAATCTTAAGGCTATTTGTGTCTCGTTATAGAAAAGCATCGGTTTGGGAGGGTTTTTTGAGTGGGTGGTCCGGGACATTTCTGTTGGCCTTGTTAACCCCAGGGGGATAATTAGGGGGGAAGATTCCCCAGAAGGAACGCCGGTGTTGAAGTGCAGCATGGGGGAAGCAGACACCTGTGACCTCAATGGTTAGATTATGAGTGGAATCTAATTAATAATGTGGAGAGAGAGAGGGAGAGAGAGAGAATAGAGAGGATAGGGGGAGAGAAATGGAGAGGGAGAGAAAGAGAGGGAGGAGAGCGGGGGAAAGAGAAAGAAAGAGACAGGGAGAAAGGGAGGGAGGGAGAGGGAGAAAGAAAAAGGGGAGAGGGAGGGAGACAGAGGGAGAAGGAGAGGAAAAGAGAAAGAGAGAGGGAGAGAAAGAAATGGAGAGGGGAGAAGGAGAGGAAAAGAGAGAGAGGGAGAGAAAGAAATGGAGAGGGGAGAGAGAGAAAGGAAGGAAGCGAGACAAAGAGAAAGGGCATAGAGAAAGAGAGAGGAGAGAGAGGGAGAGAAAGAAAGGGAGAGGGGGGAGAGAAAGAGAAAAAGAGAGAGGGAGGGAGAGAGAAAGAGAGGGAGAGAGAAAGAGAAGGAAAGAAAGAGGTGGAGAGAGAGAGAAAGGGGAGAAGGGGAGAGAAAGAGATGAAAGAGAGGGAGAGAAAGGAGAGAAAGAGAGAGCAAAGAAGGGAAAGAAGGTGATAGGAAGAGAGAAATAGAGAGAGGGAGGAAAGAGGAAGAGAGAAATAGAGAGAGAAAGGGAGAGAAAGAGGGAGAGAGAAAAGAGAGGAAGGGAGGAAGAGAGAAAGAGAGAGAGGGAGAGGGAGAGAGCAAGGGAGGGAAAGAGGGAGGGAGAGAAACAGAGAGGGAGGGAGGGAGAGAGCTGGGAAGCCTGGGAGATTTGCAGACGGAAGATGTTTCTGCTTTAACCAATTGAGTTGCTGATCTCTTCCTTCTCCCTCTCTCCCGTCTCTCTCTCTCTTTTCCTTCTCCCTTCTCCCACTCTTCCTTCTCTGTCTGCCTCTCTTTCTTCTCTCTCTCTCTTCTCTGCCTCTGCTGATCATAATTAAGGAGCTCCATCTTCTCTCTGGGTGGAGTAATTATTTCAGAAGGTTGTTTGCAAAGTTTTGCTTCCTGCCAGGAGAGAAGGCAAAGGGGAGAAGAGGTAGAAATTGCAGGTGAGGGGCTTCAGAGATAGAGGTACGTGGTCAAAGCATTTTTTTAAAAATCAAAGAAGGGGGGAAAATGCAGAGGGACAAGGACGGAGAGGTGGAGACTATACAAATAGTCCTTGACTTGCCACAGTTCGTTTAGTGACTATTCAAAGTTACAGCAGCACTGAAAAGAGCGTTTTTCACACTTACGACCGACGCTTGGCAACAGGCTCACGTTTATGATGGTTGCAGCATCCGGGGGGGGCTCACACGCTCCCCTTTTGCTGCCTTCTTCACAAACAAAGTTGAGGGGGAGACCAGATTCGCTTAACCACCGTGTTACTCCAGCGATTCGCTTAACAACGGCGGCAAGAAAGGTGGTAAAAGGGAACAAAACTCGGTTCACAAATGTTTCTCTTAGCGACAGGGATTTTGGGCTCCATGATGGTCGTAAGTCAAGGAGTACCCATATCTGCAGAAGAATGCAGGCGATAAAAACAGAGAAATTAGGGTTTTAAGGTATTTAAACCCCCCTGTTGTTTATATTCAGTTTTTTCTAGAGGGTTGAAAAGCAAACGTGGGTTGCAGCCGTTTTCCTCTTTTCCCGGGTTCTTTTTCTCGGTGTAAGTTGTGTTGCTGAGGCCTCGTTATTGTCGTCAATAAGCCAATGTGTGTGGCATATTGTGACATGTGAGGCCTTTAGCTTGCTTTATGGAATGTGCAAATTTATGGAAGGCTGAACTGCCCCATGAATCCATCTGGAGAGAAATAAATATTTTGAAATCAGCTTCCTTCTTCTTCTCCTCCTTCGTTCCGTCTGATTTCCTGTTTGATGGAAGGCTTCCCCTTGTCCAAAATGCAAATCTTTGGACAGGCGGTGGAAATTTGTGAATATTCAGTTTCATTCATTCTCTCTCTCTCTCTCTCTCTCTCTCTCTCTCTCTCTCTCTCTCTCTCTCTCCGTCTGTCTGTCTTCCTTCTCTGTCTTTCTCCCTTTTCTCTTTCTCTTCCTTCTCTCTCTCTCCCTTCTGTCTCTCTGTCTCGCTTCCTTCTCTTTGTCTCTCTCTGTCTTCCTTCTCTCTTTCTCACTTCTTTCTCTCTCCCTTCCTTCTCTTTCTCTCTTCCTTCTCCCTCTCTCCCGTCTCTCTCTCTCTTTTCCTTCTCTCTCTCCCTTCTCCCTCTCTTCCTTCTCTTTCTCTTTTCTCTCCCGCCATTCTCTGTCTCTCTTCCTTTTCTCTCTTCCTTCTCTCTCTGTCTCCCTCCCTTCCTCCTCTGTGTGTGTGTGTGTTTGTGTATACATACATACATATGCACACACTTCTCTCTCTCCTTTTCTCTCTCTCTCTGTCTCTTTTCTTTCTTTCTTTCTCTCTCTCCCTTCTCTCTCTCTTTCTTCTTTCTTCTCTCTCTCTCTTTCCCCATTCTCTCTGTCTCCTTCTGTCTCTCTCCCTTCTCTCTTCCTTCTTTCTCTCTCTCCCTCCCTCCTTCCCTCCCCTCTCTCTGTCTTTCTGATGATTGTCAGAAGGTATTCTCGCTTTTC